TGCTAGCACGTGATTAATGCTAAAGCTGTTCTCAACAAAGCAGCGTAACCTCTCCCAATACCCGAGCCAGCAGGAAGCAAGAACCAGAGCTCAGGTTGTGCCACGTTGTTCTCCTAAAGACTCCAGAGCCCATTCTAGCTCTGCATTCCTAAAACGGAGCCTGAAGGTGAAGATTTTGGAGTCTGGGTGTGAGGCCAGCGAGCCCCTGCAGAACAGGAGCACTTGACCGAGACATGTAACCCAGCCCAGGCTGCAGTGCATCGGAACACGCAGGCTGCCAATTCTCGCTACGCGTTTCTTTTTGCAGGAGTTTGTGATCACTACTTTGAAGAGCCTGGGCTACGTCACGCTGATGTGTGGGGATGGGACCAACGACGTTGGAGCTCTGAAACATGCAGATGTGGGTGAGTCCACACGCAGGATCTCGCGTGTGCCCCTGACTGAGTTTGGCTAGCGTTCCTAAACACAAACCCAGTGTTTGTTTCTTGGGGGTTTTGAGGGCTGGGATCGAACTGACCAACGTCATTTGGTGGCATAAACCAACATAAAGAAGGAGGATCTCTGTGCTGGTGGAATACCCGCTCTGTGCACACCAGCAGGCAGCGGGAATTAGCTGCAAACACGTTTTCCTGGAAGAAAGATTCTTCCTAAATTTTTTTTTCCCCCTAAGCTTCGCTTCAGCAAGTGTAACATGTCTGAAGTCCCTGCCTAACAAGCCTGCCCACCTGACTGCAGGTCTAATAGCAGTTGGGATTCCTACTTGGTGAAAACGCTCTGCCGGCAAAGGGATTACAGCCCTTTTTCCCTGCAGCTAATGTTTTTACACTCTTACAGGAGTGGCGCTGCTGGCAAATGCTCCTGAGAGACTGCCCGAACGGAAGAAGAGAGCTCGAGACGGACCCGGTGATGGGAGGCCTGCTGCCCCGTCGATGGGGAGCGGAACTGTGAAGCCCACCTCCCGTGGCGCCAAGCACAGAGTCATGTCCCAAAGAGAGGAACAGCTGGCCATCCAGAGGGTTGGTAACTAGATGGTTAAAAGCCCGTTAACTTATCCTCGCTCTCTGTTCCTCCTCTGGTTTACTGCTAATTCGTGAGAACACTGGAAATGGCAGGATGTGCTGGGAGGAGACCAGCTTTTCTGCTTCTTATCCTGAAATAGCGGAATGGATTTGGGCAGAGACGGTGCTGCTTTTCCAGCCAGCCATCGAGCTAATGCTGCAAGCACGAAGGCTTCTCAGCCTCGCCTTGGAGCAGGGGTGTGGGAGAGGAGAGCGCAAGATCGTCTTTGATCCAGGTTGCGATAATGAGGTGTGCGTTTGCGTCTTTCTCTTGTTGGCCTGCAGGAGCGGATCAGTCAGGTCCTGAAGGATTTGGAAGAGGAGCGCGTACCAGTCGTGAAGTTGGGCGATGCCAGCATTGCAGCCCCCTTTACCTCCAAGCTCTCTTCCATTCAGTGCAGTAAGTGTGTGGTGGGAGCTGAACAGTTGGTGTGCATCTCCACGTGGCCGGGTTCCCCGAGGGGAATAAGTCTAGGTTTGAAAGAAGCCAAGACAGAGGGCGCGGGGTGGTGAGAAATGCCCCCAAACCCATGGCTTTGCCAGGTTTTTGTGTGGCGCAGCCCTGTGGGGGTTTCTTGGATGGACGCGCAAGCGGTGAGGGGTTAGCTTCCCTCCGTACTGCTTCAGAAAAGGAGAGGGCTGAGGGACAAAGCCCCAGAACCTGTTTTGTTTTGTTTCCAAACGCTGCTTCCTCTTGCTCCTTAGTCTGCCACGTGATCAAGCAAGGTCGTTGCACGCTAGTGACAACGCTCCAAATGTTCAAGATCCTTGCCCTGAACGCCCTGATCCTTGCTTACAGCCAGAGCGTCCTCTACTTGGAAGGGGTGAAGTTCAGTGATTTTCAGGCAACTCTGCAGGGTCTGCTGTTGGCTGGCTGCTTCCTTTTCATCTCCAGGTCGAAGGTAAGGGGAGGGAAGTGCCTCGGGACGGGGGCCGGTCGATGGCCGTGGTATCGGGATTACTGAAGGAGTGCCTCTCTCCAGAAAAAGCCGTTTGTTTTAATAAGTTAACAGCCCACAGTGCTGGAGGGGGTGGGGTTTTTTTTTGTTCCCCCTTTGGATTTGGGAGGCTCCTGAGGCCAGCGCTTGCTTACGGGAGCATCTTGTGATGGCAGGCAGGCAGCTTTGTTCGGGTTACGGGAAGAGGAGGTGGAAGAGGTGGGAAGGGGGATGCAGGTCCCTGGTTCAGCTGAGGCTGTTACTTTCACCAACTAAGCCGTGGGTCTCATGTACGCCTGAAGTGGAATTCATAGAGTCGTTAAGGTTGGAAAAGACCTCTAAGATCATCGAGTCCGACCGTCGACCCAATACCCCCGTGGCCACTAAACCATGTCCCTGAGCGCCTCATCTACGCGTCTTTTAAACACTTCCAGGGATGGGGACTCAACCCCTTCCCTGGGCAGCCTGTTCCGATGTTTAACCCCTCTTTCAGTACAGACATTTTTCCTCGTGTCCAAACTCCTGCAGGCGTTTCCTGAGAAACACAAATGTTAGTTGGGTTCTGCTGGAAAACTGCCTGGAGATGGTCAAAACCATTCGAGTCAACCCTGCTTGCTTTTCTCTCCCAGCCTTTGAAGACGCTTTCCAAGGAGCGCCCGCTGCCGAACATCTTTAACCTCTACACGGTCCTGACAGTGCTGCTGCAGTTCCTCGTGCATTTCCTCAGCCTCGTTTACCTGTACCGCGGTGCCCAGGCGCGCAGCGATTCCAAGTAAGTGTCTCTTCCTCCAACACCGGAATGTTTTCTCCAATTCCCGCTAGGCGGGAGGGTGGAGAGGGGCCTCCCTCACCGCAGCGCTCTTTCTGCGAACGCTTTATTGAGCGCGCCCAGCATCAGGCGGTGTCCAGGAAAAGCATCGAGTGCACGGGCAGGCAGCCCAGCGTGGCAAGGATGCGATGGAACCGGTGGGAATGTGGTCTGTGACACGTTGCAGTTCCAGTGGTCTGCTGTCCCCACGCTGGGAGGGGAAAGGGGAATAGAAGTAACACCAATATGAGGTGGATTACTGGAAAGTTACAAAGAAAAACACACAAAAACCTCATATTTTTTTTCCACTTGATTTTTATTTTGTGGAAAAAACCCCAAACCCAACGATTACCTGTGCTTGCAGCATCTGCAGCTCCGCTCTCACCCATGCAAGCACGCTTGTGTCGGAGGCGGGGCTGCTGCGAACAGGAGCCACCAAAGTCCGGGAACAAACTGTCGTTGCCCAACAAACCTTGCACGTAGTTTAAATAAACCGTCGTTTAAGTAAACCGGCGATTCCGAGTCTGGTCCGCTGACCTCCAGCTTTGTTCCCTTTTAGACAGGAGGAGTTTGTGGATCTGTACAAGGAGTTTGAGCCCAGCCTCGTGAACAGCACCGTCTACATCATGTCGATGGCAATGCAGATGGCCACGTTTGCTATCAACTACAAGGCAAGCCGTGTTTAAGTCGCATCTCCAGCAGCACCAGAGAAGCGACTTTGTCGTTAAGGTGCAATAGTACAAAACAACGTTCTTCTCTAATCGCAAACCACATTTTGTCAGCGCTCTGCGGAAAAAGCCTCCCTCTTTTGGCACCGAGTTGGAACGAGCCGAGCGTCCCAAACTGTGTCACGAATTGCTCCACACCCCCTAGTCTGAACGGGCACAGCCTCGCCTCTGCTCACGGTTTCTCCCTGCTGTGTTTCAGGGCCATCCTTTTATGGAGAGTCTGCGGGAGAACAAGCCTTTACTCTGGAGCATCATCCTTTCAGGACTCGCCATCGTGGGCCTTCTCACGGGCTCTTCGCCAGAATTCAGTGAACAGTTTGGCTTGGTCGAAATCCCTGCCGAGGTGAGCGGGCAGCGTTTCTCTGCGCCTACTGAACTTCACGCACAGTTTCAGCTGGGAGAGCGGGACCCGGCCCGTCCTCGGGAACTCTGGAGGAATCTTAAGGTTTTTAGCAGAACGTCAGGCAGGTAGTAACTCGCAGGAGCGCTACCTTACCCAGCCAGCTTTGAGAGAGAGGAT